TCTCACCTTGGGCGACTTGAAGTTGTTTGGATTCCACCCCCAAGAATCCCCCACCCAGCTTATGCGGGCTGGGGAATTCTGGGAGTTGAAGCCCAGACATCTTCAAGTGGCCAAGGTTGAGAAACACTGCCCTAGAGCACTAAAGCCCTCTGAAGGGATCAGCGGGAGCAAAGAGCAGCCCCCCAATTCGCGGGACGCGTCCCTTGGCTCCACTCTCGCTGCCCTTCCCCTCCCCTCCCGCTCGCTCAGCAGGCCCAGCTCCAAGTGCGCCACATCTTCCAGTCTCTGGGATGGGCGGAGGGAGGAGGAGGAAAATAAAATGCTTCTCTTAAACGGACATGCCGGAGAGCCAATCGCCTTGGAAAGCGCCCGACGGTTACAGCCGCCGCCGCCCAATGGGGTGGGTCTTGAGGCGGAGTCCGTGGGGTGTGAGAGCAAAGCGCGGACGACTGGCGGCGGCCGAGGCACTTCCCTTCTTCGCCGCCGGAGCTGACGGACCGCCGCCGGGAAAGGCGGAGAAGACGAAAGGGGCTATCATGATGCGGCTCCGCAGCCCTGCGCTGCTGAGGGACCTGCTCTGGCTCAGCCAGGCCGGCACCGGAGGGCTCAGCTGTTGCCGTCGCTCGGCGCTGAGGTGGCTCCATCCCGCCTGGCCCGGCGTAGCCGCTGGCCGCTTGCCTTTGCGGCTCATGCCCGGGGCTGCCGCCGCCGCCGCCGTTGCCTCCCGCTCCTTGTGCACCAGCTCCGAGGGCATCTTGGAGCAGACTGGCAAGGGCCCTCCGGCCCAGCAACCGCCGGCACCTACCGCGTCCGCCTTGATGCCCGTCTCGGCCCCCGGGCAGAACAGCCACAACGCGGCAGCAAGCAAGGAAGCAGGCGTCTTGGGGGAAAAGTGAGTGGCGGCGGCGGCGGCAGCGAGGGGCGGGCCGTTGGCGGGACCGAAAGCCAGCCCTTGGGAGACAGAAGGAAGGATGCTCCTGCCGGCTGGTAGTGGGCGCATGCCTGCCGGCGCTGGCGTCTTCCTCCCCTTGACATGTGACAGGATGCTGCCTCGTAAATGTCAGGACAAGACAGGGCCATCATCCCACGTGCGGGGTGGATTTCTAGGGAGGCAAAGCCGAAGATGGGACTGGGAGAGGTTGCCACGACAACCACGGGGAGAGTGGGGGGGTAGTTTCTTGGCCATCCCTTCCTTCCTTTGATGCAGTTTGTCCCAAAGGAGCTTTTTTTCCAGGAAGCAACTGGACTTTTTGGAGACATTTGGCATCTCATCCAAGAACCCTTCTTGAGCTCGGAATGGATGATGGGGAATGGAAGGATTCCCCCCATCCAGTCCAGAAGTTGTGGAGCTTCATCCCTGGAGGCTTTCAAGAAGAGACTGGACTGAAATAGTATAGGGTCTCCTGCTTGGGTGGGAATAGCAATAGCAATAGCAGTTAGACTTATATACCGCTTCATAGGCCTTTCAGGCCTCTCTAAGCGGTTTACAGAGAGTCAGCATATTGCCCCCAACAATCTGGGTCCTCATTTTACCCACCTCGGAAGGATGGAAGGCTGAGTCAACCCTGAGCCGGTGAGATTTGAACCGCTGACCTGCTGATCTAGCAGTAGCCTGCAGTGCTGCATTTAACCACTGCGCCACCTTGGACTAGACCGCCTACTGCCAATTACCTCCACCCGACCAATTAGATCCCATAGATTAGGCCTCCTCCGAGTCCCATCTGCCGGTCAATGTCGACTGGCAACTACGCGGAGGAGAGCCTTCTCGGTGGCAGCTCCGACCCTATGGAACGATCTCCCCGTGGAGATTCGTACCCTCACCACCCTCCAGACCTTCTGCACAGTCCTTAAAAACTGGCTATCCCGTCAGGCCTGGGATTAAAGACTGTAACCCACCCGAATAGTATGAATGTCGTGTTTTTAATGATGTATTGTCTTATGTGTCAATTGTTTGTTTCCCTCCCTTCGAGTTGTAAGCCGCCCTGAGTCCCCCCAGGGAAAAGGGCGGCATATAAATAAATTACTCTAAAAAAAAATTACTCTAAAAAAAATTACTCTCTAGATGACCTACAAGGTATTCAGCAGATTCTGACAGGTTATGGAGAATCGGTAGGGGAAAATTTTTGAGTAGTTCGGAGAACCGGCAAATACCACCTCTGGCTGGTCCCTGGAGTGGCAATGGAGATTTTGCAGTATCCTTCCCCTACCATGCCCACCAAGCTACTCCCATAGAACCGGTAGTAAAAAAAATTGAATTTCACCCCTGCGTACAAGGCCCCTTCCAACTCTGTTAATCTCTATCAGTCAGAGCTGAAGAAGCTTCTTGGATGAGAAGCGAAACATCTTCAAAGAAACTCCAGTTGCCTCTTGAAAAAAAGCATCTTTGGGACAAGCATGACCTGGATGACTGAGAATCTCCATAGACTTTGATGCATTTATTTTCCTGGAGATTAAAGTCACTTTCATTCTCTATTCAAAGTAAAGTGTATGTGGTGGTGGGAGGAGCACTGGCTCTGTGATGTTTTGGGCCTTGTAGCAGAAAAATGACCATTGGAAGGATCTTCTGGGCACTGATTTGGGTGGGTTTTACTTAATCAGTGGATAATTCCAATTAATTTATCTCTTAAGTTAGTGGGGGTGAAATTGGAGTTTGGGATAGTGTCAGCGATGCTTTAGTCTTGCTAGAATTCATTTTTAAATTTAAATGCTACTATTTATTTGAACATTTATATTCGAAATGTGACTTACTTAGAGATTTTATGTCTTTCAGCTAAGGTTCATAAGGTGATTCATGAATCAGGCCTGTGAAAGAGTTCTACTGTTTTCAGTTTTCACTTATTTTATTGGAAGTGTTTATTAAATGATGTACAATTTCCTTTTTTTTGGGTACATATTTATGAAATGAGATCTAGGGAGGAGAAAACATTTCCGCTATGCAATGTGTAAAAGGGAATTCAAGAAACAGCAATCTAAAAATACCATATTGGTGGAGTTTTTTAGAATTTTCCTACCCAGCATTTATATCTAAGAATTAAAATCTAGGGTACAATTAAACAGTTACAAAGGATTGTATCTGAAATGTTGAATGTAGCTTTTAAAAATCTTATAGTTGAATTACTCATTTATTAACAGTCTCATTTACAGAAGAGATAAGTAGTGAAATACACTTAGGTCATGTTAAAAGTGCTCAGAAGTTTTCAATTTTTCTTCCCAGGAAAGCATTTTATTTCAGTCAACGTTTCTGAACAGAGGAATGTGCATTTTAATTATTTGTCCCTTCATATAAAACCACTGACAATTGACAACATAAATACTTGTGTATTGATTAGATTTTTTAAGGTAATACAGTTTTACATTTAAAAGCAAAACTGTTTTTACTACTTGCTGTGAATCTACTGAACTATGATTGCAGCTGCTATGGATATTTTTATGATTCATCTTTAAAATGGTTTTCAGGCCAATCAATGAGCAATGATCTGTCTGAGGGCGGTGGGGAGGAAGCTATTGACTCTGTTATTTCAGTGAAATTAATGTTAGAAAATGGTCTGCCTGCAGTTTTGGGAAAATCATAAGGTTTGAGGAATTAAGTTCTTTGATTTGATTTGTTAATTGGATGTAAAATTCTGGCAGGGGAACTTAGAATTAGAACTCCAAAATTGGATATTCTAGCTCTCTATTCCATAATTCAGATATAAAATCAGTGGTGGGATTCACTTACCTTCCCCACCGATTCACAAATATGAGTGCACGTGCCACATCTGCGCATGCACTGCCTTCGCATGTGCAGAAGGCCGTGCATTACATCAGAGGTGTGTGGGCAGAGCCTCCCGCAGCCGCTGCTATTGGTTTGTCCGAACCGGAGAGAACCAACAGAGAACCTCCTCTCTATAAAACTAACTTTTACTTTTTAATTCTTTATAAAATTAGATTATGAGTTTTTGTTCAAGTGCTGCATCTCTTGAACATTTTAAACTTGTTAGTACTTTGCTGCTGCTAAAGCAGCTGGGCCATTCTGTTTAATACATTTCAGTTATATATATTGCTCAGCAAATCTTGTAAAGAAATTATATTTAAAACACAACTCATTAGTAATCAACCGATTGAGAGTATTGATTTATTGTTTGGCCCAAGCATTCCACTAAAACATTTTCCTTCCTATTTTCAGGTTTGGGTTATTCCACAATAGTAGTTTTTCATGGGATTTTGGATCAAAGTGTACCTAGTAAGCAATTATTGACCAGATGCATTTGGCAGTTTTTGAGGCCAGAAATGAAGATACTTGTTTGATATCCTTAAAGCTAAAATTTCAGAAGTGTTTTACCACTCTAATCATAAGGCAATCTCATATTGTGCAAGGATATTCAATAGACCGTAGCATACCGATAGAGGATAGAGGAGAATATTAGTAGCTCAGGGTTGAAATGAGGGATCCCTACTGCTCTCTGAGCTTGGTCATTTCATTACCCAAACTAGGTAACCCAAATGAGCAGAAATTAACACCAAGATTAATGTTAGACCAACAATCAAGAAGCAAACAGTATCCCAAACAAGGAACTGTCAAAGAAGCTAACAGTAAACAGCCTAATCAAAGAACCATCAAGACCACTCCCACCAACACTGATAAGGCAAGAATAGAACTGGACTAGAATATAAAATGAGAGTAAACCCCACTCCCTACTAGGAACAGATTTCATGGACAAAGTTTTTGGCCTTGAAAAGACTTAGATTTGGTGAAATGCAAACACTGTGCTCCAGCATAAGAACTTTATGCCCTCTATGAAACATAGTGCTGGTATCATGGTTTGGCCTGTTTTGCTGGCTCTGTCTCAGGGGGGCTTTGCCATCATCAGTGGAACCATGAATTCTAAATTGTCTCAGCAAATTCTACAAGAAAGTGTTAGGCTATTTGTCTGTGACTATATACTCAACAGAAAGTGGATCATGTAGCAAGACCTCAACACAAAATACACAAGTCGTATAACCTAAGCATGATCAAAAATTAAGAAAAAAGTTAATATTTTGGATTGGCCAAGTCAACCTCCTGACGTTTATCCTATAAAAGTGGAGAAGGACTTGAAGAAGGCAGTTCATGTGAAGAAACAAAGCAACATCCCTGAGTTAAAGCTATTCAGTTAAAGGAACAGGCTAAATTTCTTATGTACAGGCCTGATCAACCATTATCAGAATGTTTAGTTGTATTATTGCTGCCCAAGGCGGGGGGGCACACCAGCAAAGATTATTTTTCTAACCTTTAGATGTAACTTTAGATCATTTTCCTCAATAAGTAAATGAACAAGTATAATATTTTGACTCATTTGTTGAATAGGGTTCTCTTTATCTAGTTTCAGAACTTGTGTGGAAATGACATTTTAGGGTATATTTTAATCTAAGCAAGTATTTAATAGATAATACTTGTTAAACATTAATCTCAAGGTAATACTCATTTTGGTAACTTTAAACTTGCCCCAGAGACTTAATGGAAGCTTTAAATATTGAATTATGTCTACTGAAATTACATCTATACATTTAAGCATGTTTTATTCAAACTATTAAGGTATTTTTGAGAAAGATATCAATCCAATTAGTTTATACAATTTCTTAAAAAAAGCATAACTGCTAATCTCTTGCAATAGTTTACAGATGTACTGTGTCATAAAGAGAGTAAATTAGTTTTGTTCCCCAGTTAATAGTACAATCAGGGTATAAACCACGTTACTGTATGACATAAATAAGCTTTGGTAATGACATGAAAAATATTCAGAATAGCTATAATATCATCAGCAAATAAGGGTAATTTATATCCATTGCCATGTTTCACCTCATCTTAATATCTTTAGGGTCACTTATACTGTAGAAGAAAATCAGGGAGGCAAGAGGTACAATTGCCAGGCC